GCCCTTGGGGGCTGGGCAGGCAGCCTTCTGATGTGCTCCCAGACCCTGACGCCGGTATTCGAAAGAGAAATCAAGGCAGGAAATTTATGTTCACTTAATTTTTAATATTCAGGGTCCACTTAACAAGTCCACACGCCTAAACTGTTTCTCACGTTCCCAAATATCCTCAGCTGTGTATAAAAGCCCCGGGACAACACACCACCACGGACGCCCTGGTCCCCTCCTGGCGGGAGCCGGGAGCTCGGTCCTCTCCCCGCATCTCCAGATAAGCGCCTGCGCCTCGCTCTCCTCCCTGGGCTGTCTGTGAAGCTCACTCTGCGGCTTCGTGAGCCAGAACCGCGCATCACTACGGGGCTGGCCGCCGCCGCCGCCGCCCGCCGCCCGCCGCCGAGCCCTAGGGGCCGCCCCGTGCGCCCCCACTCCAGCCAGGGGTTGGGGCGTTTCTGTGGCAACGCGACGCGCGCCCCCCCCTCCCCGCTGTTAAAGTTGGAGTCGGCGGGAGCACGCGAGGGCGCCCGAAGGCAAACCCGGACGGCGCTAGGGCCCCGCAGCCACCCCGCAGCCGGGAGCCCTAACGGTCACCCCGCGCGACCCCCCGCCTCCGGCTCCAGCCAGAGGGTTGGGGCGTTTCTGTGGCAACGCGACGCGCGCCCCCTGTTAAAGTTGGAATCGGCGGGAGCGCGCAAGAGCGCCCGAAGGGCCAAGCTGCGGCTGCGCTAGGGCTCCGCAGCCGCCCCGAGCGCCGCCGCTCCAGCCAGGGCCCGGGCGTTTCTACGGCAACGCTATGCGCGCCCCCGCCGCAAAGCTGGAGTTGGCGGGAGCGCGCGACGGCGCTAGGGCCCCGGAGACGCCCCGCAGACGGCCCGCAGCCCCGCCGCCGCGCTCACCGCGCGCGGTCCTGCTCCTGCTGTATCTGTGCCTTATTTTTTAGAAACACACTTCTTAGTGAGTTAGGCTGAGAGTGTGATCACAAGCGGGATTGTTTAAAAACAAGAAAGCCCCGATGCAGTCATTTCCCACCCACCTCACAACAGCAAACCAAGACAATTAGTTTCCACCTGTTTCACGGATTCACCTGTTAACGATCTGAAAGGTCCTGGCCAGTGCCAATGAGGTGATCTGCATGACGAAATCCTGCCGTTCCTTTCCACCAAAAGCATGTCCGCGCATGAAACGAACCCCTCCTTTCTTTTGTTAATAACTTCACATCCCATCCTCCTTCCTATGAAAACTTCCCATTTTGTACAGCTCCTCAGAGCTCCCCTCCGCTTGCAAGATGGGCTGCTGCCCAGTTCTTCAATCACTTAATAAAGCCAGTTAGATCTTCAGATTTACTTGGCTGAGTGTTTTTTAGTCTTATGTACTTTATATTCTCTTGTGCAATTATCATAGTGTCCCATACTTTGTTCATAGGTTGATTTAGATCCTGGAATCTCAAATGAATCTACATGTTTGCTTGTTTGCTTTTAAGCCACAGGTGCAGGTGGCATGATTCAATTTTTATGAAAACTAATCATGGGTGAATACACCTAAGCTTCCAAAACATCCAGGTTCTAAGAATTAAGGAGATAATTATCTTCTTTCCATTAATTGTTTGGAATCATGTCATTTTTAAATAACAAACCATCAATTCTAAAATACACTTCTGAAAAGGGATGCAACTTACAGTAGATATCATTTCAAATTCATAGAAATATGGTAGTTTTCCTCGAATTGAGTACATAAAAGGTCCATTATTTCTTACTTTCCAGTTTTACTTACTTTTATTTTGAATTATTAAAAAGAAATAGAACACATCTCTCATCACATCACCAAGAAAACTTAATCCCTCTTATTCTCCTTGACAAATGATTACTTCTGGACAGCTGGCTTGCTAGGCTGGCTGCCGGCTGTCAGCGCTAACTCCGTGGGAGTCCCAAGTATAAACCATACTTGGGTCTAACGACTGCCTCGTTCATTGTTTTCTTTCTGTGTTTTTTTCGTTGAGTGAGTGATATTTAAATGTCTCAAGAAGGTTTGAATTCCTTTCGTGTTGCACTGAAATTTTAGTTAACTTTATAGTCGTAAAGTGATTTATACTCTGTTTTTTAACATCCTGAGGAAATGATGAAATGTCAGATCATCCTTTACAGAAAAACTGATTTTGATTGACATCTGGCTTTTCGACAACAACATTGGAGATCACAATACAAGGCAATAACATGTTAAAAAAATCGAAAGCAACAAGTTTTAAGCCTTTACATTCAGCCAAGGCCTTTTAAACGTGAGGACACAGAAAAACATGTTGTCAGAAAATAAGACCTCAAAAGTATTCTCTCACAGAAATCTGTGTGAAAATTTTCTTAGAGGAAATATTCCAGTAGGAAAAAAAATAAACCTGGGAATATGCAATTAGGTTTGTGGAGATAAGGATTGATGGTAGTGATGTTTACTGTATAATAAAAAATACATGAAAATGTAGCATTTTGAAATAACCCAGAAGTACAGCTTCAGGAAATGTCCCCTTGCAAAAAGGGCCATGATGACGGAACAAGAACACTCAGAGGAGGGGAGCGGAGGCAGAGGACTTGCTTGGTTTGCTGAGATGATGCTGAAATCGACACACATGAGAAACTGAGGAGGAAATTCACCTGATAATGATATAGAACCATCACAATATAAAGAATTCCCAAATTCAAACAGGAAAATACTTGATCTGTAAAATGGAAGATGCAAAAGGTGCAGAAAAAAAGAATAAAGTATGGAAAATAAAGCATCGAATAAGGTGATAGAAATAAATCTTAATAGAACAAGTTAAATGAATCAAGGGAAAGATAGCTGGGCAACATTTTTAAGTGGCATAGAAAAAATCAGACAAAATATATTGAAAATAGAGTCATGGAAAAAATAAAGAGGTCAAATATGCATACAAAAAGGACCTAAGTCGGAATTTTGATAACAGGTTAAATTCAAGATGAGAACATCGTAAAGGAGGAAATGACATCGAGGCCACAGCAGCAACAGTAGGTGCAGAATGTGCTTGAGAATGTGCACATTCGTGACAATCAAACCAAACAAACTCGAGTGCGACTCCCACCAGGGCTGCAGAGAAACATTATGACCAGCGAGCTGGGGATACACATCAAGTCCACATGGAGCATCGAGACACCTTCAGCGCGTGGATCCCTCAGTGACCCCCGACTTACTGCCGCAGAGGGGACGGAGGATGGTATCATGAGGGGATCCACAGACGGCTCGAGGCTCCCCCTCTCTGTGGTGTGGGTTGGACGTGAGGCTCCAGTGGTGTGGAGGGGAGGGGAACACAAAGCAAGGCTCCCCCAGAAAAAAATACAACCCCTGGGAATGTCTGACGAGGCTGCTCTAGCTGACTCAGCCCCGGGGCTTTGACTCCTGGTCTCACCCTCCACCCCGCAGACCTTAAGGGTCAGTGCTCACCCGGGGCCCTTAGCTCACCCTCCCCGGGTCCTGGCCTCTGGGTGCAGCACATGTGCATGTCTGAACGTTTGTGTCCTCCCAGGGGTCACAGGTTGAAATCCTAACTCCTCGAGATGTTAAGATGTGGGGCCACAGGCAGGTGGTTCTCAGCCCTTGTCCGGGCACGGGTGCCTTGTAACAGAGGCCCCAGGAGGCCCCCGACGCCCTCCCACTGTGACCCCAGGGAGAAGCCTCTGGCTGTGGGCCAGGAACAGGGCCGTCACTGGAGATGGCCATGCTGGGGCCTTCATCTGGGCCTTTCCTGCCTCCGGAGCTGTGAGAAGCACATCTCTGCTGTTTGTAATCTATCCGGCCTGTGGCATGACGTGATGGCGGTCCCGCTGGCCTAAGACAACACGCTTCAAACCTACACGGAAAGTGAGGACTATCTTCTGGCAGAATAAGACCCATCAAGACAGCATATGAAGAAAAAAATTTTAATAGATATTTGTGGATTCTTGGATTTGAAAATACCTGATTGGTTTGTGAAAAGATGACTTTGTGTGTGTGTTTACAGCAAGTCGCAAGAGTACACAATTTAAAGGCTAATTAATGCCATAATTTTAAATGCTACAGACTCACAAAAATATCATTTCAAGGAGTAACTACTTACAATTCTTTCATACTTAGATTTATGAATTTTGAATAATTATTTAAATTTTTGTGTCAGTCCATCTGATTGAAAATGGGACAAAGCACTATTCAAAATTCACAAATCTAAGTAAGTGTAAAATAAATTTAAGTTCTGTGCCTTGGCTTATACCGGGCATAAACGTTATGTGGGGAAGGTGAACAGAGGAAATCCTCAGTACAAATCCTGGAGCAATGGCTAAAATTCCAGGGTCAATGTAAGAATTTCAAGGTTTATGAAATTGGAGGGCCTCTAGTCAAGGTCTCTAATGGACCACGGGAACCAGATAACGTCTGGATGAATGGAAAAACCGTCTCTCTGACAAGGTGAACAGGGTTGGAAAGGGACCCAGAAGGCCCAGGAGTGTGCAGAGCCCTGTGGGACCAGACGGTGGGTGGGGGGCTGTGGACCCGCCTGCTCCTCCCCTGTCCCCTGCCCCGCCCGCAGGGGCCCTTTGTGACCAGGCCACCCTCTGTGATGCGGGCCTGCTGTGCTGTGCCCAAGCACATGCCCAGAGCCCAGTTGCTCGAGGGCAGCGGTGCGGATCAGACATGGAGAGTCCCCTCCTATCTCTGAGAAGCGGTCTCGCTACCTGGCTGAGCTCCAGCCCCACCTCCTGGGGGCCCGCGGTCACTGCAGGCATCCTGTGCGGACTGGGGCTGCTCCTCCTGCAGGTCCTCTTCTTCCCCTTTGATGCACCCTCCCCGCCACCTAGAAACATCAGGGAGGTAAGGAGCCCTTGGCCCAGACCGGACGCAATGGGAGTCTCTCCTTTCCATGATCACTTCTGCTTTTGGGGGCTCAGCTGTAGAGGCTCCTGGGATGGGAAAGAAGAAGACATCTTTTCTCAGGAAGGAATCCAAGCTCCTCCTTCCAGGCATAAGCCAGGCCGGGCCCGAGTTCCGGCAGGAGGATCTCTCCCAAGATCCCAGACAGGAGCCAGGAGGGCCCGAGGGCTGCGGGCCAAAGCCCCAAAGCGGGGGCCAGCGGCTGCGGCCGAGATCCTGAGAATCTGACGCCCGCGGGAGGACAGGCCCCTGAGCACAGACCCACCGGCTGCCTTCCCGGGGCAGGGGTCTGGGGCAGGGGTCGGGGACGGGGCTTCGTCCAGGCCGACCCGGGGGCAGTGCTGAGCCCGCAGCGCCTCTGAGCAGGGGCGGCAGTGGGGCGCAGGCCTCGGGGGGCAGCGTGTGGCCTGACGGAGCTCAGAGGGGCCTGTGGGTCTGAGCACGGGTGTGTTTCCTGAGCAGAGAAATGCGGTGACGCAAGAAAGCCAGGGCGGGTCCCCAGCAGAAAGTCCTTCTTTACCTTCTTCAAGGAAGGAAAGCGGAAAATATTTTTATCTACTTTAAAAAAGTACAAGAAGGAAAACCTCCAGGCCTGTTAATTAAATGCAGACAGTCCTGGTCACGGACTCTGAGGTCTGTGCCCCGTTTGTGAGCAGAGGGCACATGGCCGCGCCCTGTGGTGATTCGGGTGTTTTGGTCCCACAGCCTCCCCTGGAGCCCAGGGAGAAGAACAGGTGGAGGAGGAAGAGACACGCGGCTCTGAGAGGTGGGTGCTGCCCTCTGCCCTGCCCGCCCTGCCCGCCCCGGGGCAGCCTCCCTCCGCCCCGCCTGAGGGCCCAGCTCCTTGACACCCCTGAGGATGCCAGCGGCAGGGCCTGTCCCCCGGGAGTGGAAGCCCGTGGGGAGGCTGCTGGGCAGGAGACCTGAGCCGGGATGCTCCCCAGCGTCTGTGCTGGAGCAGAGCTGCGAGGGGCCGGAAGTGGGTGTCACCGAGCGCAGACGGGGTGGGCTGGAGGGGCCCAAGAGTGCCCGGATTGGGAGTGGGGGCTCCAGGTCCACGTGTGGCCGATGTGTCAAACTCCCCTCAGGAGCCCTCTAAGGTGGCCCTACCCCGACCCTGCAAAGGGTGGTTAGGACGGAGGCTGTGAGGGCCACAGAGGGTAACGGGTGTAGAAGCCCCCTTGCAGATGACAAAGCGTTCCCCAGTCACGAGCATTCCCATCGCCGGCAGGGACCCTGCGGCCCGGGACACCGAGGCTCGGGCCCCAGACACTGAGCTCCCCAGTCTCCCCTAAAGGGACATGGCACTCAGGCTCCTGTTAGACCCCTAGGTCCCTGCCTTCCCCACCACGATGGTGTCTTCCACTTCCCAGGCTGCAGAGTTCGCCTGCGACGACTGGAGGTGGCAAGCAGCCTGCTGACACATCCAGAGAGGTAATGAAGCTCACCCTTCCTTCTCGGGTCCTTCCTCCCGGAGCCTGTAAGGGGACTCCAGGGCTGCCGCAGCCTGCGGCCGACTTGGGAGGGGCAGCCGTGGGGACAGGGGTGGGGACAGTGCTGGGGTGTGGGACAGCAGGAGCACCATGAGGGCAGTGTGGGGGCTGTGGAGGCCATGGGCCCCAGATGCCCGCCCCTGCCTGGCCGCCTTGGCCCTCCTGGCCCTGTCTGCTCCTGGCTGCACCTTGTGCCTCCTGTCCTCCGCAGCCTCCTGAGCAGGATCCTGGACAAGAGCGGAGATCGTCGGTCACGTCAGGACCCCCCTGGTGAGGTATGGAAAGCGCAGACGGCTGGAGCCCGTCAGCCATGCCGGGAGCTTCTAGGTGGCGTTTCTCCCACCATGTCCCCTTCAGCCTCCCAGACCCCCCTGCTGAAGCTGCCTCCGTCCCTGGCCGCCACTGCTGCACCAGGCCCACCGGCCCCCACATGTTCTGCTCATGCTCACCACTCCCCGGGTGCCTCTCAACCGCCAGAGCTCTTCCTTCCCCTGGACAGCCTTTCACCCCAGCCCCTTGCTTCTCCCCCTCCACCCCCGTGTCCCACCCTCCGTCTCTCACAGCCTCCCCTGCACCCCTCCCCAAGACTCCACTCGGACTCTTCCTCACTGGGACCCAGTGGCGCTCCCACGGAGCCCGTACACACACTCCCCTTGGGGAGCTCCTCCTGCCCCAGCCATCTCAGGCCTTGGTGTCTCCGTTTCGGCCCTGTCCTTGTGGCAGGCGGCTGCCAAAGCCTCAAGCGTCTCTCCTCAACACCTCAGAGGGTGGGTCCCAGACACTGGCTGCATTCCGGGGAGACCCAGGCATACACACACCCCTAACTCCCCTGTAGCACAGAAGGCAAACCAGAACAGCTGCCTGGTCCTCGGCAGCTCTCAGATCCCAAAGTCTCGGAGGGCCACGTACAGCACACATCTAACCACCTTTTCTGGGGTCTCCCTTCCCTACATAGCGAATCCCTTGGGGCCACTGTCTGGACCTTTGAGTGCGCCTCCAGCACCACAGTCCCCATCTGTTTTATTCCATGTAATCTCAAATTGTTACCCAGTTCAAATGCAGGCTACATTTCCCCACCGTCTGTCCAGTCCCAGCCTCCGTCCCAACTGGAGTTCCCGTCTCAGGCCCTGATTCTGTGCTTAGATCGATTGGAGCCCCCAGTTCTGACTCATGTCTGTATCCCAGCCTGTCTCCAATCCCCCCTCCCAACCCTACCACCGTGTCCACACCAGATTAGGGCCTCCGAGTAACTTGCTCTACTTTGCAGAATAAGCCGCAATCTCTCATCGCGCCTGAGACTCGACCCCCAGAACGGCCCACGTTGCAGAAGCAACCAGAAGGTCAGCGGGCTCGATCCTCTGGAGTCGAAAGGCCTCAGGAAGTGTGCAGCGTCCCTACTTCCACCTGTCGGGGACTCCCTAAGGGATGGAAACCCCGTGTGAACACCTGCCACGGGACTCCCCCCCTTGAGCTGTACACTCGGGAGATGCTGGAAGCGCGCACCAGAAGGCTCCGGGCGCAGCACAGGCGGCGGGTACTCCTGAAGGTCGTTCAGGCGCTAACTGTCTATCGGCTGAGGAAGACCCGCGCCTGGCCCACTCTGCAGTCGGCCTTGGCCGCCCCAGGCACCTGTGTGTCAGGCATCCCCACGGGACTCAAGTTTCCTGACTGTGTGGGGAACCCCCCTCAGGCCTTCCCAGGAGAGACCTTGGAAACCGAGGAGGCAGCTTCCACCGCGGGGAGGCCTCTCCTCGCCCGCTCACGTGTGTGTGTGGAAATGGTCTGGGGAGGGAGCCCACTGGGTGATGACTACAGGTGCCCCACATCCTGTCCTATTGGACAGGAGGGCAGGCCACCGAATCAGTGCCCCACACTCAGCGACACGGGTGGAGGCTGTCAGAATGGGACTGTGGAGCAGGCCCAGAGGGGCAGCCCGGAGCTGAGTCCCTGTTCAGCAATGGCCAGGGATGAGGTGAGAGAGGACAGTGGGGGACAGGCCTCACAGGACCCATGTGGGATGGTGACGACGCTGGAGGTGACCTTCACATCACAGTCTTTGAGGGCCACAGAGGCTAGGGAGGCCACAGCGCTCCCACCTCTTCAGCCACAGTCCAGAGTCACACCGGAAGCAGCATCTCAGGACTTAAACGAGGATGCAGGGATGTCAGAAGCTCCAGGGACCAGGGAAAGTCCCCTGTCCTGTATGAAGCCTGTTTCCCTGTACCCAGGAGAACCATGTTCCAACACAGAGGCTGAGAGTGAGCTGAAGCCCAAGGTGAGGGAACCATCGCAGAACCACCCTCGACACTCTCCCCCACACATGCCGCTCATCAGAGCCAACGTGGCTTCTCCTGTGTCCCCGTGCCGTCCCCAGAGCAGGCCTACGGGTGAGCACGAAGAGGGGTCTGCGGCACTGGGCCCACGGCAGGCTGTGACTGGGAGCCGGCCTGCCCGGGTCCGGGGAGCAGTACACTCCGCTGGGACCAGATGCCCCCAGTGCCCCCCAGGGGAGACACAGAGGCCTCCGGAAAGCTCCTTCGCTGCAAGGCTGATGCTCTTCTTGCAGAGCATAAAAGGCAAACAGCGCTACACTCTGCCAAAACCGAAACTGTCACCAGCCACCGCCCGGAGCCAGGGGTCATTCGCAGGAAGATCAACTGTGGTGAATGCGGATGCTGAGGCTCAGGCGGTGCTGAGAGCGGGCGGACAGACTTTAGAGGAGAAAGTGGCAGCTCTCCGTGGCCTTCACGCCCCAGAGTTAAAGGCCCCAGTACATGCGTGTCACCACTCCCACGGGCAGCCTGGCTCCCCCAAGCCAGGGAAAGTTAGTCGTGTACCGTGCGGCCATCCACCCACCCAGCAGGGCCAGACTTTTCCAGTCAAGGAAAGGCAAGGCAGACACCGAAAGCCCTTGGAACATGTCACCTTGAACAAGGAGCCACTGGACCTGAGGAGCTCCGCTTCCTGGTCCCACAAGAAGACTTTGTCTTCACCAGTCAGTCGCTGCCAGGGTGGACCCGCCATGCAAAGTGTCCCAGGCCAACAGCGACACTGCCCGCAGCACTGTCCTCTTCGCAGAGGTGTCTACTCTGGGCAACCACAAGGTGCTCTCAACCGAAAAAGACTCACGCCTGGCCCATTCTGCAGTTGGCCTTACCCCACCCCCAGGCACCTGTGTGTCAGGCATCCCCACGAGACTCAAGTTTCCTTACTTTGTGGAAAAACTCCCTCAGGCCTTTCCAGGAGAGACGGTGGAAACTGAGGAGTCAGCTTCCACCATGGGGAGGCCTCTCCTCGCCCTCTCACGTGTGTGAGCGGAAAAGGTCTAGGGAGGGAGCCCACTGGGTGATGACTACAGGTGCCCCACATCCTGTCCTATTGGACAGGAGGGCAAGGCACCGATTCAGCACCCCACACTCAGCGTCATGGGTGGAAGCTGTCAGAATGGGACTATGGAGCAGGCCCGGCGGGGCGGCCCGGAGCTGAGTCCTTGTTCAGCAATGGTCAGGGGTGAGCAGAGAAAGGACAGTGGGGGACAGGCCTCCAGGACCCCTGTGGAAGGCGACAATGCTGGAGGTGTGCTCAGCATCATGGTCTTTGAGGGCCACAGAGGCTCGGGAGGCCACGGCGCTCCCAGCCCTTCAGGCACAGTCCAGAGTCACGCTGGAAACAGCATCTCAGGACTTAAACGGGCATGCGGGGATGTCAGAAGCTCCAGGGACCAGGGAAAGTCCCCTGTCCTGTATGAAGCCTGTTTCCCTGTACCCAGGAGAACCATGTTCCAACACAGAGGCTGAGTGAGCTGAAGCCCAAGGTGAGGGAACCATCGCAGAACCACCCTCGACACTGTCCCCGACACATGCCGCTCATCAGAGCCAACGTGGCTTCTCCGGTGTCCCCGTGCCGTCCCCAGAGCAGGCCTCCGGGAGAGCACGAAGAGGGGTCTGTGGCACTGGGCCCACATCAGGCTGTGACTGGGAGCTGGCCTGCCCGGGTCCGGGGAGCAGTACACTCCGCTGGGACCAGATGCCCCCACTGCCCCCCCGGGGAGACACAGAGGCCTCCGGAAAGCTCCTTCGCTGCAAGGCTGATGCTCTTCTTGCAGAGCAGAAAAAGCAAACATCAGGACACTCTGCCAAAACCTAATCTGTCACCAGCCACCGCCCGGAACCAGGGGTCATTCGCAGGAAGATCAACTGTGGAGAACGCGGATGCTGAGGCTCAGGTGCTGATGGCAGCGGGCGGACAGACTTTAGAGGAGAAAGTGGCAGTTCTCCGTGGACTTCACACCACAGTTAAACAAACATCAGAAGGAAGTCCAAGCCCCAGTACGTGGGTGTCACCACTCCCACGGGCGGCATGGCTCCCTAGAGCCATGGAAGACGAGTCATACACCCTGCAGCCAGCCAGCCACCCAGGTGGGCCAGACTTCTATGGTCAAGGAAAGACAAGTCAGACGCCGAGAGCCCTTGGAACGTGTCACCTTGAACAACGAGCAGCTGGACCTGAGGAGCTGCATGTCCTGGTCCCACAAGAAGACTTTGTCTTCACCAGTCAGTCGCTGCCAGGGTGGACAGGCCGTGCGATGCATCGCCCACCGCACTGTCCTCTTCGCAGAGGTGTGTAGTCTGGGCAACCACAAGGTGCTCTAACCTTTCCTCATTGTTGTCTCTATGAAAAAATTCTAACGTTTTTCTCATTAGTAAATTCAAGATATTTAAGTCTCCCCAATAAACATGTTTTTTTCCCTCATAAAAAGGTAGTGTATTGGCTTCTGTCTGTGCTGTGCTCATGACGCGCTGTGGCTTCCAGAAGGGTGGGCAGGCAGGGAGGGGTGTGGGGCCTGCAGGATCGCTCCTGACCCTGGGTCTCTTCCTTGCCCCTGTTTCCATAGCACAAACCACAAAAAACAAAATGAGGAAACTAACCTGTGTAGGTCTCACCCCCTTCCGGGCTCTATTTCACTGCATTTCTTCTGGTTCCATGCCACGTGGAACTCCAGGCTGCTGTGGAGGGCAGGTGTGCAGAGGCATTACAGAGCTGGGCATTCCTCTCAGGCTCCGGGAAGTATCAGAGCCCCGGAAGTGGACGTCTGGGAGGACGTGCTGGGTCCCGAGGTCAGAAGCAGGAGAAACCAGTGGGCCAGGCTGCTCCCAGGTGTTCCCACAGGTGAGATCTGCTGCAGGGATGCCTGGCCCAGATGACAGCAGGGATGGGCCCCATACAGCAGGCCTGCCAGGACCCCAAGATGTGGTTCTGGGAGCAGGTGGGGAGAGGCCGAGGGGGGACACGGGGCAGGTGGGAGGGAGTAGTGGGCCTTCCCGTAAGGGCCCAGGGTGCGTGGCAGGTGCCGAGGCTGCCCTCCCTACTGTCATGGCCCGCGTGCTGGCCGGGTGGGCAGTAGGGTGGATGAGGGCACAGGCCACTGCTGGCGTCTGGGGCGAGCCCTGCCCTGTGTCTGTCCTGGGAAGCGCAGATGGTGGGAGGAATGGCCCAGAGGGAGCTGCCCTGCAGTCCACACACTGGCGTTGCCCAGGCCCACTGGCGCACCACCACCCCAGTGTGCAGCCGCCATCCCGCCACCGTCACCCACCCGCACCATCACCCACCGGGCCTAAGGTCTGCCCAGACTTCTGGCCCAGCCCCGGGGCTCGTGTGAGATCCCCGTGCTTCCTGTTTGCAGGCCGCTTCCCGCCACCACTGCTGGCTGGGAATAAGCAAAGCCAGAGAGGCTCCCTGAAAAGACCCCGGGGAGGTGGGCCTCCACCCCAGCAGGAGGGTCACCCGCCCTGCTCCTCCCTCATCAGCACACTCATCCTCCCCAAAATAACACAAACTGCAGCAAAAGGCGAATCCGACCGGTGGGAAGAGGAGGGCAGACCGGCCAGGGACCCTGGGGTCGGAGGGGCAGCACCGTGGTAGCCCCCTTCGGGAGGCCCACGCGACCAGGCCGCGCATTTCCTGACGCTGGTCTGGCAACAGGAGGCCGCCCAGGGGCTCCTTCTCTGCCTGGATCTGACAGGTGTCCCTCCACGGCACCGGGTGAGCCCAAAGCCCCAAGGGTCCCTCTAACGATAAGCTGCCAAAGGGTGCGCTCCCTTTCCCAAGCAGGCGGGCCTAGGACGCCGTCCCCATCCCCCAGAGCTTGGCCTCTGCCTGGGAGACCCCGCCTGCCCCGAGTCGTGCCTGCAGGGACCACTGAGCCCCTGCATCCGCACACACCAGGCAGGCAGCAGCCACCCCAACAGAGGCCTGACCGTCAGACGGTCACTGGAACCCCAGTCCCCAGAAGTAGGCCAGGACCCGGGTGCTGAACTCAACAGGGAGACTGCCTGCCACACAAAATACTTCAATAGCACCCAGTCTCCTAACATGACAGGCAAAATGACCAGGAAACAGTAAGACATCACCTGCCAGACCACAACCAAGAGTCAACACTTTAAATGAGAAAAGGCAATGCCTGGAAGATCCCGACATTGGAATTAGCTGACAAGGATTTTAAAGCAACTGTGGTAAAAATGTGACTGTGGACACACTTGAAACAAATGAAAACAGAAAATCTTGGCAAAGAAATACAAGTTATGGAAAAAAGCCAAATGGGAGTCCGAGAACTAAAAGCGCAGTAAGAGCAATGGGTCCCCTGGATGGGCTCGGTGGCAGAGCGGGACGACAAGTCCAAAGACACAGGCAGGTCGGGCGGGAAGGACGGAAGAGCGCAGGCCGTGCAGACATTAGCAGAGAGGGCAGAGGCGGCTGACTTCACAGCCAACAAGGCGGACTTCAGAGCAAAGAAATTCGCTGCAAGAAGATGTTACCTAGTGATGCGAGACCGACCAGCAGGAACAGGCGACAGCCCTACAGGAGCTCAACCCCCCCCTGCAGCAGAGGCCACGGGGCTGACGGGGGAGAAGGACAGACCTGCGCGCAGAGTCAGGCCGTGCTGGGACGGCAGGCTGAGCCGTGGACGTGAAACTGGCAAGAGCATAGGTCTGAGCAGCAGGGCGAGCTGCCGGCAGGATTTTAGCTTTTTCTGGTGGCCAGGGAGCAGCTCCGAGAGCAGGGCGGTGGCTCTCAGTGCGCTAGCTGGGGCTCCGGTGGAGGGGGGCGCACACCGTGGAGATGCCTGTTGGGACAGTGTGCCCGGAGGGGGTAACGGGATGGGCTGTGCTGACATTGCTGCAGAAGAGCAGGCAGGCTCCGGGGGCCTCAGGCGGGGTCAGGAGAGAGAGCAAGGCCCCCATGGGCATTCAGGAATCTACCCCCCAAATGATGCTCTGACAGGAGACCAGGAGGGCGACCCTGGGGACGGAAGTCAGAGAGTGGATGGTGTCCGTGGGCAATCTGACTTTTTAAAAAATTGCAGTGAAATACACACAACATAGCATTTGCCATCTTAGCCGTTCCCAGCTCACAGTTTAGGGGCATCAGGCACATCTGCTGGGGAGGAGCTCGGTTTGGGGGTGTAGGGAAGTCGACGCACCAGGTGAGGAGGGCATCAAGTGAGAGTATCTGGAATGGCAGTGGCCGTTCAGGCAGCAGAGAGCAGGGAAGGGCTTAGCTGGAAGGGAAGCTCTCTGCACTGCTGCTCATCATGGGGCGCATCCCCTGCTGACTCCTAAAGCCAGGGTCCCCTGGCGTCCAGTGACTCCTTGGATCTGCATGGTGTGGGAACTGAGTCCTCACCACCCCAGGATTTGGGGGAGCCGCAGAGCTCTGGGTGGGGTGAGATTATGTTCTGCGAACTTCCTAGACGCAGAAAGGGAGACCCCCAGGCAGGCTGCTGAAGAGCGTGACCGTACGGCTGCGGGTCCGTCCGGGTCACCCACGCAGCGGGAACTTGCAGGCCCAAATCAGAGCTCTCAGCAGCCCCGCCCTAGTTATCTGAAATAGGACAGGTAAATAGGAAGATTTGAGCTTAAGTCGGAGAATTAGAATGAAATAGCAAAGAAACAAAGGGACTCCCCACTGGAATAATGCAGAGACAAAACGTGAGAAGTTTATTTAAGGCAAAATGTTGCACCTTCAAAGAAAGGGGAGTGTGGGCAACCTCAGAGAAGAGGTGCACTAAGGGTTTCGGGTCTGGGGTTTTACAAGCTGTTAAGGATTTTTCAGGAATGTGACAGAGGGCTAGGGGTGTAAACGTGTCACATGGTCTCGAGATGCTTATCTCTGGTGAGAGACCCCATGTCTCCTCTCTTGTATTATCAGTTCTCCAGTTAATTCTGCTGAATAAACTTAACACAAGAAACTTATTGATCCATTTCCTCCCTAGGATAGTGACTTCTCTCTGTGGATACATATCAGTTAAGATTGTTTGCCGTGCTTTATGGTGGGTTAGTTATTGTCTGTTTACCAAAGACTACATTGGGAATCTCACTTCTTAACCCCCTGGTTTTTAAAATGGAATCTTCGCCTTAAGGTGGAGTCGCCTTAAGGAGATACTATGCTGTTTATATCTAAGCTCTTTTGGAAAATTTGTCATGATGCCTGTCTCTAGGCCAGGTTGCAAATTACTTGGTGAGGGGTTGGCGGTGGAGGAAAACACAGCATACAGGTTAAGTTAAAGAGCAAGCTGGGTCCTGTAGCAGGTTAAAGCAAACCTTACAACGGCGCGATCTGATTGACGCAGTGAAGTCATGGGCTGCGTCCAGATGCTGTTCTTTAACTGGGGACTGTCCGGACATTCCAAGTAGCTCCTGGCCCTTGGAGCTTCAGCTGATTAACTCATTAACTCTGCGTCCTCACTGGCTCTCTGGTTCGTCTGGTTGACTCTTTGAGTCCCTCTCAGTGGGCTTTACTGGCTTTATTCTCCTTCCACTCACCCATGTCTATTTTTCTACCTAACACGTCCACGTTGCTGTGCGGCTGTCCCCACCATTGTCTCCATAACATTCCATCTTCCCAAGTCCACACTGAACACTCACTCCCCTCCCCTTCCCAGCCCCTGGCCATTCAGATGAAAGGCCACCCACGACAGTTCTTGCGTGTGGGCACCTGGTGCTCACCCCACACTCATGAACCCTGGCTGCTTCCCAGCATGGTGGACCCCTGGCTGCTGGGGGCAGGTCCTGGGGAAACAGGGAGGGAGTCAATGCCTTCCTTCTCAACCCCATAAAAGCCCACTGACCCTGAGAGTTCATTCTGAGAAAACTAATTCTGCAGTGGCAGGCTTGCCCTCTTGACCTTGTTATAAAGTGCAAGGTTGTCCTGGTGGGAAGGCACGGCTGGGTGCTGAGGGGCCAGGGTCCTCCCTGGTCCCACTCACTGGGCAGCAGCCCCAGGGCCTCAGCCTCCCTCCCAAGCCGTGCAGCGCCAGCTGCCCAAGGCCAGTGGTAGCTTTTATTCCTCATGTGCTTGTTTTTCGTGGCATCTGTGGAACACTCTTCCTAGAAATCATGAATAGGTGTGCCCCAAGAAGCATGCTTTGCGGTTGCCATTCCCACGAACACCACAGCCTGCAGCTGGCAGGATCTGGTGTTTCTCAAGCTTACCGGGAGACCAGACTGCAGGCCTCCCTCTCTCTGCCTGACACCCTTCTGAATCCAGGCGGTATCTCTCATCCAGACCTGGTTCACTGGGGACGCTGGGCCTGACTGCCCAGGCTAGTGCCCTGGGACCACCAAAGCAAAGGACCCCCACTGGTGCTGGTGCAGGGGATGCTTCTACCAACAGAAGTGTATTCCTTCCTGCCCAGTTCTGGGGCCAAAAGTCCACAGTCAGGGTGAGCAAGGCCACGTGTGCCACCATGGGGGATCTAGGGGAGGCCCTGGCCTCTGCTAGCTCCTGCTGGTGGTGGCCACCCTTGGCTTCCCCTGTCTTGTAGATGCCAATCTCTGCGAATCTCCACCTCCATCCTCCACCCGGCTACCTCCCTGTGTCCCCTCTGTCTCTGTTTTCTCCTGTAAGGCCACCAGATGATCCTTTTGGGCCACCCATCCAGTCTGGCTCATCTGAACTGGTCACCCCTGGGGAGACTATTTCCACAGAAGGGCGCATTCTGGGGATCCCGCTGGGTGTGGCTGGCCGGGCAAGGCCTGGGGCCCTTGCCCCACCTCCTTTCCTACTGCGCCCATCTTCAGAAAGGGGGTCAGTCTGCAGCCTGCAGTCTCTGTGGTGGGTGGGATCTTTCCTGGTCCAGTAATGAATGGCCTCTTCCAGAAAGAAAGAAATGGAGACCAGCCCGCACACCAGAGCGAGGCCAGAGGACCCTAAGCCTCCCTCTGAGGTGCCAGCGGCCATGCGGGCAGCGAGACCCAGCACAGACATGGGCCGCAGAGGGCGGGGCGAGGGCTGGCTCCCCAGGCCCCGTCGAGAGAGTGGGGCCGCCCGCTGCAGGACACCTTGGAGGCCCTGTCCCCCTCTTGCTCTCACCCCCCACCCTGATGCCCACGCCTCTGGGGATGAGCAGGCTGACCGGAAGGTCAAGCAATGACACAGAGGCACGCACACCACCGTAGGGCTGGTCTGCCAAAGTGGAACCAGCAAGTCATGGCCTGTGACCTTCTCTGGCCTCCAAACTTATCATCACCAGCAGCCCTGCAGGTCCCACATGTGGACAGTGGCTTGTGGCAATGTCACATATGGAAGTGCTTTACAAGTTTTGAAATGTGGGGTTTAGTGGCCTTAAGGTTCTGATACTGTGGGCTTGTGTTACACCCACCTGCTGGGCATGCGTCCGTGCTGCCCCGAGGTACAGCCCTGCCCAAAGGTTGGGTCGTTTCCCATCTGGGCCATCGTCTGGGTAACCCAAGTTACGATTACGGCTACTGACCTTGTCACTATTATTATTGCTCTTACTTAGCAGCAAACGCTTGCAGAGTGCCTACTATGGGCCAGGCCCATCCTCCCAGGGCTACCTGAGCCCCACCTCACCCCCACCCCTCCTACAGCAGGTGGGCATAGGAGAACCTGCCTGCCTAAGGCTGCGGGTGTGGGTTCAGAGGAGCTGATGCCCGAGGCAGGAAGGCCAAACAGGGGAGGAAGACCAGGAGGTGCCCCAGGCTCTGGGGAAGCTGGGCTGGTGGCAGAGTGGCAGGGAGGTGGCACTGGTAGCCTGTGGGAGCACAGGGGAAGGGCAGACAGGACAGGGTGCAGGGGGGCTGATGATGCGCTTCCTGGTGCAGGATAGACGGCCACTGGGGCAATGTGCACAGTTACTGGGCTGCATGGGCTCTCTGGCCACTGGCTGACCCATGGGGCCCACCCCCTGGGACACAGCTCCCCTCCACGCTGGCTCCCACCTGTCATTGTCCAGAGCCAGACCCAGGAAGTGTTCCTGATGCTGGAGGCCAGCCAGGACCCACCCCCCAGACCCCAGACCCTTCCTGTCTGGGCCCTACCGGGAAGGGTCCAGGCCCTGGGGACACAGGGCACTGGAGGGAAGACGGCCTCCTATTGTCCCAGTGGAGGAAGCCCCGAGGGCCCAAGGATGAGCCTGGGGGCATTCGGGGAACCACAGGGCACGGAGCCCTGGGGCACTGGCTGGCAGCCCCGCCAGCCCTCCTCCATAAGGCCGAGCCCCCGCCCGGCCTCCTCACTCTCCTGAGCTCAGAGGGGCAACCGCAGCTGCAGCCATGACGTGCCTCCTGCTCGCCCTGGGCATGGCCCTCCTGTGTGGCACGCGGGCCGCTGACGTCCCCCAGACCATGGGGAGCCTGGACCTAACAAAGGTTTGAGGGGGGCAGGGGCCCCAGAGGCCAAGGAGAGCCAGAGGGAGGCCCCACCATCAGGGCTCTGCACCCGCCTGCCGGGGCTGCCTTCACAAGGCACCCAGACCGGGTGGCTGGATGGAAACCACTGTCCCATCCTGGAGGCCGGAGGCCCCAAAATCCAGGGGCCGCGGGGCTGGGTCCTGCTGCAGCCCCTCCCTGGGCGTGTAGATGCCGCCCCTGCCTGCATCCTCATGTGGCCGTCACCGTGCGTGTCTGAGTCCTGATGCCCTCTTGTCCTAAGGGCAGCAGGCAGATTGGATCAGGGCCCCCCAGTCACCCCATGTTATCTTAATCACCTCTTTAAGACCCTCCCTCCAAATAGTGCTCTGAGGTCCTGGGGGTCAGGGTTACAGTGAATTTGGGGGACACAGATTGGTCCATGGCAGGGCTCCCAGCTTCCCCCATGTGCCCCCTGCTCCACCACGTGCCTCCCCACTCACCCACGGTGATGGGTTCAGGTGACTTCAGGCAGAGCACCCCTCAGGTCGGCAGATGGGGGCCCGGGGCCGGTGGGGGCCGGCCAGGGCATGCCCCAAGAGCCACAGCACAGCTCATGCCAAGGCCAGCCTGGGGGAGCTGGGGGCAGGCAGGACCTGGCTGGACGGGGCAGGCGGAGCGTCCTCTGTGGGCCTGGACCCCCTCCCGCCCCCAAGTGCAGCTGAAGGCTCCCCTCCCCCCCAGGTGGCCGGGACCTGGCACTCCATGGCCATGGCGGCCAGCGACATCTCCCTCCTGGACTCTGCCAGCAGCCCCCTGAGAATGTACATTCAGGAGCTGAGACCCACCCCCGAGGACAACCTGGAGATCGTCACGAGCCAACGGTGGGTGTGCCGAGGGCCCCCCATGAGGGCCTGGCTCCAGGGCAGGCGGGCAGGCGGGCAGACAGGGCAGGGCTCCTGAGGGGCCCTGTGGGCAGGCACTGTGCCCCAGGTGTGGGGAGGGGGCTCAGAGGTTCCCAGTCCTCTTAGAGGCCCCTCCCAGGGCTCTGGGCCCACTGGGTGACCCCACAGCCCAGCCCCGGGGCCAGTGTGTGGAGATGCCTGAGTGGAGGTGGGTGGCACAGCTGCAGGCTGGGGCCCTTGGTCAGCCCCTGAAGTGGGGGTGCAGTGTGTAGGACAACACTGGGGGTGTCGAGGGCAGAGATGAGGACTGGAACCCGGGGCTGCCCCCAGTGTAGGCCGCCGCCCCCGACCTTGTGGGCCGGGGCGCTCCTGGTTCCTCCCCTCCGCCTCCATCTGACGCGTCATGGCCCTGTCCAACCTGGTCGCCTGCCGGCCGTTAGAGGTCACAGTGTGCACAGCCTAGGCCCGGGAGACCAGCCCAGGGCCCATGCCCTCCACCGGGGACCCTCCTGGGGCCTGGCTTCTGCTCCCGCACTGGCAGTTCACAGACACAACCGCCTTACAGGGAGGATGACCACTGTGCTGAGAGGAAAATCTTGGCGGAAAAAAACGGGGTCGCTGCTGAGTTCAAGATCAACTGTAAGTGCGGGCCATCAGGGTGCAGGCAAACAGGGCTGTGCTCTGGCCTGAGGGTGCCAGGGCGCAGCGGACAATGGCAATCCCGACATGAGCTCAGGTGGCCGCTGCCTGCCCTGCCCCATGCCTCCCCGGCTGCCCAGGTGGAGCTGGGGGCCGCTGACCCTCCTCAGGGGCCAGGGCACCCCGGCGCACCCAGCCTGCCCTAGACTTGGGACTCATTCACTCCTTCCTCACTAAGTCCAAGGCGAGCGTGCGTCTGGGGGGAGCTCCCACTGGTGCCATTGCCCCTGCAGCCTGGGCTGCATCCTACATTACCCCCACTGGCTGGCCTGGCTGCACCGGCCATCACCAGTGCTGTTGCCAGGGCACCCGCCCCAGGGACCCAGTGCCCCCACCCACAGCAGCACGGGGGCAGCAGCGCCCCACCGAGGCTGCCCAGGGCACTCTGCTGCGACGCCGCTCGCAGCTCCCGGGCCAGGGCTGCCCCCAGAGCGATCTCGTCTCAGGAGGGTCCTCTCTCCCCTCACAGGGTGGGGTCCAGTCTCACTGGAGATCAGCTTGAAAACCCCATTTCTTCACCACTTTGTGTCCCAGGACACAGGGGGCATCTTGGATGGAGGGATGAGTGAGCCTAGGTCCAGGAGCCCAAGAAACAGCCCTGGTGGAGGTGTTAACCTCCCGGCTTCTCAGGCCCCTGGGCCTGGGGGCCACGGTAGGCAGAGACGCGCCATGCCCGGTCCTCACCGGGGAGTGGCCATGGAGGGGCCCCACCGGTCATGCAGAGGAGTCGACTGCTCACCCCTCCTGCTGGAGAGGAAGACCCAGAACTCATCTCTGGCCCTGTCTTGGTCTCTCCCAGACATGGAAGAGAACCAGCTGACCGTGCTCGACACCGACTACACCCGCTACCTGTTCCTCTGCATGGAGAACACCGCCGCCCCCCAGCGGAGCCTGGCCTGCCAGTACCTGGGTGCGTCCCTGACGTGGCTCGACTAGGAGGGGGGCCAGGGCCTGCGGGCTTAACGTCCCTGGCCTGGTCAAAAGATCAACGCTGATTCAGAGCCCCTGGCGGTGATGTTCAGGGAGGGCACCATTAGGACTATGATGTTCTGAACCCAGCACCGCCTGGGAGGAAACAGCGCAGGATTCCCTGAACGAAGCACATTGTGTGCGGTTACGGAGACGTCACACCTCAGCCATGCCGGCCCCAGACAGCCCGGGGCCCAGGACCCTTCCCTCCCATGCGCCTGCAGACCCCCAAGCACTGTCCTGCAGGGAGAGGAGGGGCAGGGGCCCCGAGGAGGCACTGAGCCCAAACACCACCCCAGAAGCTGGGCCAGGCCAAGCTCTGCCAGCCTCAGGACGCTGGCATGTCCTTCCTGCGCTGGCTCCCGGGTGGCACCCTCAGGGTCCCCGAGCTCTCGGCCGGGGCACTGACCCATTGCCCCCACAGCCAGGACCCTGAAGGTCGACGATGAGGTCATGGAGAAGTTCAACAGAGCTGTCAGGCCCCTGTCCATGCACACCCAGTTCTTCTTCAACCCGACCCAGGCGGAAGGTGACCATCCCCGGGCCCCGAGTCCCTGCTGGCCTTCTGCTGTGGCCCCTGCACCAGAAAGCCATGAGCCCTGGGGGCCTCTTTCTCCACGGTGCCCCCCAAGTCCCCCACTTCCCAGGAGGCGGGTGGAGGGCTGCAGAGTCCCTGGGGGCTCCCTCCCGACCCTGGGCCAGGGACTGTGGTGGCCACCTTGTGACTCTTCCTCCCCTTTTCCCCCCACAGAGCAGTGCCGCGTCTAGGTGAGCACCTGCCCGTCCATCTCCAGAGTAACGTACCAGCCCTGCCCTGCATCCCGGGTGGGGGGCAGCTCCTCGGGACCCTAGACTCTCCTCTGTCCGGTCCCTGGGTCCCATGTAGGAGCGGCTGGCCCCGTACCCACTCTCTCGAGTGGTCTCTGGGGGTGTTGACCCTGTGTCCTGGCCACACGCACATGCTGACGTCCCACCACTCCTTCTGACAGGGTGTGGACAGAGGCGGAGGCTGAGGAAGGGCTGGCAGGGGGTGACACCACTCAGACAAGGAGGGGGTCAGGCGCTGCCCTCGGGCTGCCCAGGGAGGGGCTGGCGAGGGTCCAACAGGCTCCTCAGAAAGCACAGGGGAGCTCCGTCCACTACAGGGCCCGGGAGCCTTGGCCCTCTGCAGAGAGACGACGTCACCCCCTGCCTCCCCGTCAGAACAATCAGGAGGGACTGAGGCCAAGGTGGCTGCAGGACGTGGCTCCGCCTGGGGGCCAGGCACCTCCAGGCCCCAGCCTGGGGTCTCCTGCTCTGAGCGGTTCCTCCTTCAGCAATAAAGAAGTGACCCTGTGCAGACTCCGCCTGCGTCTTTCCTGGCTGATGGGTGTGGGATGGAGCCGAGGGGGCGGCTCAGCGGGGGATGACAAGCGCTGGGCTTCAGGCCTCTGCATTGTAGGCCTGTGACATTTGGGGATCAGCACACATTATGGGGGCTCTTCAAACTTTCAGGAAGTAGAGAAGAGCTACAGAAGAGGTCACTGGTTCCCATTGCACATCTGGTCAGCACAAACACCTCACAAAGGACAAGAAATAAAAAACCACCTGTCATTTAATTAAAAAATATTGATATAAATATAACTTTAATAAGTTACTTGCAAATCAAATTCTGCACTCTTTTATAAATGCAGCCCCCATGACCCTCATGGCCATCTTTTAGGAACATAAGGATAAATGCTACATGGAAGCTGTTTGATATCAGACTTACATGCATGTAAATGTATTGATCTTTCTGGGCTGACATAAAACAAAGAGAGTTGGCAAAAGAGGTCAGAGGTGGAAAAGAAATTTGTTTTTCACAAACTTTTGACCATCACAAATGGAAAAAGGGTACATAGCAACAGAAAAAGAGGTTTTTAAAAAAATAAGAACTTACATAGAATAACATATACACATTTATATATGTAAAATTATACAATACAAAATTATGTATATAACAATTTATACATATTTTTAAGTTTTAAAAACGTAGATGGAATGGTACATTTCTAGAAAAACCCCAATTACCAATGTCTGCTATAAAAGAAAACTTTAAAATAACTGAACAGTTCCATATCTTCTCATTCTATGGAGGAGAACCCCAAACCTCTCTTAGAAGGTTCCTGTCTCGCACAACGTGTTCAAGGGTGTAAAAGACAGCTGGGAAGTTGCTGGACTGCCCTATAACAAAGTTAGATGAGGATGATGCCAGAGAAAAAGGAAGAGGACAGCCATTACCTTTTAGTATAAAAACACAAACATCTATCTAACGATGTACTCAGTATATCATGATTGAATCCAGAAAAATCAAGGATATTTCCATATTGGAAAATACATAAAAAATTTACTAACTTAATACATTAAGAGAGAAACACTCATTTAAGAACTTTTAATTGATTTAAAAATACATGTTTCAAAAACACTCTATTCATGAGGTAAATTCTTCCCCTATCAAGAGTGCCATTCAACGTAAGCTTAGGTGTATTAATGAACAACTCTAAAATTTCAGTGATTTAAAAGAGCAAAGATCAATTTCTTGTCTATGTGAAATTTCCTTTGTAGGTTAACAGGGGTGCCTGCACCTCCCAGTCACTCAAGTATCCGGGTGTTCAGCCAGCCACCGCCTGGGGGGCTGCTGGTCGCCATCCCAGAGGAAAAACATCAAAACATCAGGAGGGCCTCAAAGTGTCCATTCAACACTGTACCCTAAAAGGTACACACAACGTCTCCCCTCTCACTGTGTTGGTCAGAAGTTATTGCCCCACTAGAAGGGAACCAGAAAGTACAATCCTACCTAGGAACAGAGAGAAATGTCCTTAACCTGATAATTAAAAAAACATTTTTTAAATTTCTTAACATCATACTTCATGGGAAGAGACTGAGTACTTTCCCCCTAGGACGGAGAGCAAAGTAAGGCTGTCCTCTCCCAGTACCCTATTCAACATCATATTGGAAGTCTTGGTACAGTAAAGCAATAAAAATTGATGGCGTGACCGTTGTAAAGGAAGCTTCTTGCGTGACCGAGAAAGCAAAAAAGAGATAAGACACAAATCACTGTCCCAGGAATGAAAGAGGAGGTGCCATTACACCCTACAGACATCGAAGGGATATAAGGGATCACAATGAACAACTCTACACACATAAATTTGACAACTTAGATCAAATGGAGCAATTCCTAAAAAAATACAAATTCATTCAATATGAACCAGATAATTTCAATAGCTCTACAACTACTAAGAAAATTGAATTAATTCTAAAACTCCCCAGAAAGACATTTCCAGGCCCAGATGGTTTTATCTGCTATATATAAAATTACAAATCACAAATGTACAAAAAACACAATCTCTTGTTGAAAATAGAAGAGGATGGAACACTTTTCAACTCATTTTATGAAGCTAATATTACTCTGATACCAAAACCACACAAAGACCTTTCTTTAAGGAAACAAAACTACAGACTAATGTTTCTCACCAATATACAATCAACAGGCATTAAGGAAATATTAGCAAATAGATTTCAGCAATATATAAAAAGAATTATACACCATAACCAAAAAGGATTTATACCAGGAATGCAAGTCTAGTTTGACACTTGAAAATCAATCAGTGTAATCCACTATATTATCAGTCTAACAAGGTAAAATCATATGATCATATCAATCAACACAGTAAAGCATTTGATAAAATTCAGCACCTATTCATGATATTTAAAAAAAACCTCAGAAACAAACAAACCTGAAACACACGCATAAACCCAGAGAACAGATTAGCCGTTGCCATAGGGAAGGAGGAGTGGAGGGGTGGGGGAGACAGGTGAAGTGGTGGGGGGAGAATGAAGGAAAAGAGAGTTCAGAATAATAAGAACACAGAGCCTCCTCAACTCAGCAAGAGCATCTACAAAAAACTTAAGAATTAACACAGTGCTTAATGGGGAATAATGAATGCTTTCAACAATGATGAACAATGAATGCTCAGGAACATGGCGAGGATCCCTGCCCTGACTCCCCTTTTTATCATAGAGCAGGAAGTTCTAGCCAGGGCAATAAGGCAAGAAAAGGTAATAGAAGGCATGCAGATATGAAAGGAAGAATAAAAGCATCTCAATTTGAAGATGACACAATTGTCTATGCAGAAAATCTTAAGGAACCTATAATAAAAATTCCTAGAGCTAATAAGGGAGTTCACCAAGGTGAGAGAATACAAGATAAACACACAAAAATCAATTGCATTTCTACATATTAGCAATGGACATGTGGACACCAAAATTAAAATGCAATACCATTTATAATCACTCAAAAAACTTGAGTACATAGGTGTAAATCTAACAAAACATGGATGGGATGTGTGTGCTGAAAACTACAAAATGCTGGTAAAAGTCATCAAGGCTGATCCGAATAACTAGAGAGGCCGTGTTCATGGACTAGAAGACTCAGCACGGCAGGTGTCAACTCTTCTCAAACTGATATACAGGTTTAATGCAATTCCTATCAAAATCCCAGCAAGGTTTTTTGTAGACATACATAAGATCATTCTAAGATTTACATGGAAAGGCAAAGGAACTGGAATAGCTAAGATAATTTTGAGAGCGAATACCATGGAGGAATCAGTCTATCAAATTTCAAATCTAATTATATAACCACCGTGATCAAGACTGTGGTATCTGCAGAGGCAGAGACACACAGATCAACGCTCAGAAACAGACCCACACAAATAGGCCCACCGACGCGCAGTGGTGTGGACTGGGGTGTCCCCCAAACCACGCCAAGCCCTCCTACTGTGTGTGCAGGACGAGGGTGTGCCCTGCAGGCTGGCTCGCACCTGGTGCTCCTCTCAGGCTCAGTGCCATCTGCTGCAGTCCCTCTGCGCCAGGCAAGGCTCCCAGCACACAGCGGCCTCTCTGTGGGTCCCTCAAAGGAAAGGGCCTTATTCCTCCAACTCACAGGCCAGCGCTGCTTGGCTAGCCCCTCGCAGCTCCTGTCCTTTGTCCACCCAAGTAGCAAAGCTGCTCCGGTAGACAGCTTGCGGCTGGGCGCCCCAGCCTGCAGGGGCGGGGCGAGCTGGGACCGCAGGACGCCGCTGCCCCCCCACACCCCCAGAACGCCCTCCCCTGGGACCCGTTCTCCCCTAGACGGCCCCGGAGCAGTACTTTCCACGGCTCCCTCCTACCTTTAAAAAATTGAGGTCTATTTTGTGCCTTCAGTGCTGCAACTTCTGAACTCCGGGCTAAAGGCGGCTCCTTCCCTGGTGCCCGGCCGCCGGCACTGACCCCCACCCCCACCCCACGGAGTCACCGCAGCCCTGGTGACGGAGCGGCCGCAGGGCTTCCGCGGACTCGCCGTGCGGGGAAGGGATTCGTCACCGGCCCAGTCAGCCCTGCGGAGAGAAGGAGGGCAATGGCTCGTGAAATGCGCCGGCTGCCCGCAGGGCCCTGGGATTGCCGAGACCACAGCACTCGGGCGGAAGGGCCAACACCGCTGGGCCGAGCGGCCAGGCAGCGCCGGCGCCCTCGCCCAGCCCGAGTCGGGACGGGGCTGATGCAGACGCGAACATCCGCCCCACGCAGGGGGGACACCCGGGCTCCCGCAGGGCCAAGTCCCCAGCGGCCACTTGGTGGCGCCCGAGTCCCCTTGTCGCCCGAACGCGCCGGAATAAAGTGGCCCAAACTACAGAAGTGTCCGTGGGGAATTTTACCCGGGGCCCAGGACTCCTGCGCCAGACCCCGCCGCCCCGCAAGGGGCCCCGTGGGCTTTTGCCACGGGACCTCGCTAGAGACGCAGTGACGCCACGGAGTGGCCGTGCTCGCATGTCCCTCCGGGCTGAGCATGATCCCTGCCCTGCACACCTGCTGCTGCTCCAGACGCTCCCGGGCTTTGGGGCCTCGGATGTGGCGGTGAAGTCCGACTTCAGCCCCTTCGGGAGGTCAGATGTCAGGGGCCCTGCTCAGGCTGAGCTCCCGGCTCCTGGCCCAGCTCGGCCTCCGAAGGGCCGGCTGCCCGCCCCGCTGCTGCCCCCCGCCGCCCCCAGCACGGACCCCCGCCGGGCCCCCCACACACTTCAACAGATGTCGCCTACGACGATTTCTGGAACAAGAGTCTGTGGGTTTTCCGGGTGATTGTGGCCTTTCAGTACAGTCCAAGAATCTTGAATGATCTCTTAAATTCTGTCCCCAAGGTGTGGAGATCAGGAGCCAAGACCGGGAGCTGAGGAAGGTACAGGGGGAGCCCCAACACAGGGGCGCCGAGCCCGGGGCTGACAGAGGTCACCTGGGGCGCCGCGGTCTCTGGGCTGACCCAGCCAGAAGAGGCTGTCCA